GTTTCTCAGCTGGTCTGGGAACACCTTGGGATTCCCCCAGAGGAGCTGGTCCAAGTGTCTGGAGAGAGGGAAGTCTTTCACCATTCACGACAAATGGCAACCTACCCCTTGTCTGCTTGCCAACCATGGATCTTTGTATAATTTATCATTCAGCATACCCCCCTTCTCTCTGTATTACTGTATATATGGCTTAAATTTCACCCCCTTTTATTCAACAGTTCTTATTTGTTGTKTWCAGTCTTGCAYACATAATCACTCACCTCTTGTCATGCTCTGTCTTAACCGTATGTCTGATTTACAATTTAGAATTTATTCTTCTTGTTTTGATTATGTTKTTYATGTTCTATTGTGTTTTATTATGTTCTGATTTGTCTTTCTGCCATTTTTACATTGTTGATGATGATTGTACAGCACCTTGTGAATATACTGTATTTCTGTGAAAGGCGCTTTATAAATAAAAACTTACTTGCTTRCTTACTCACTTACTTATGTCTGGGTCTCTCTGCTTAGGCWGCTGCCCTTGCAACCTGACCCTGGATAAGAGGAAGAAAATGGACGGACAGGACAAGAATTTTGTCCACATAAGGAACATTGGGTCCTCACCAAGCTGTGTACTGGGAAAATGGTCAAATACTGTCTCTACCATGTAGTAAAAACATACTAATACACACGCACAAACATCCTTGTACTTGCATCAAACTGAGGACTGCACTGATTTCCATTCATTTGTGTAACTGTCATGCCTAACCCAGACATTTTCTCTAAAACTAACCATTACTGGTCTACTTCTAACCCTAACCTGAACCAAACTTAAGCAGAATTTCTGCTTATTGAGTCTGGTAGATACCTGGCCTATCGTGAAATTCAGCAAGTGTTAGCAGCTGTTCAGACCACGATGAGGCTGCCTGGCCTAYGTGATGGAATATGCAGAGCTGTCAACACTCAGACTCAGATGCTTTTGTAGCAGAATCACAAGCCGAAGGCAATCCTTGCTGAGGGTTGCAGGTCAGCTGTGGTTCCCGAGCTTGCTGGCAGAAAGGTATAGATCTTGGACAAGTTGTACACTAGCTGAGGTGAGAATGACCAATGATTGGAATTGTCCATTTATCAGTCCTAGTGAGACTTTTAAGGTCAACAGTGTCAGTCTGTACCAAAACAATTGTGATTACCTGAATCTGCCACCCATGTGTTGGCCTTGAAGGCTGGATATCTGAAACTCTCCTGGATGGTAAGTCAACAGATGCTCTGCCCTCACCATCACATCTGTGAACTGGTGTCTGAGAGCTATCAAGTCAACCTGATGAAAACTACATCACTTCAGGAACTACAGTAGGGTGGGGCRGTTGGGACTGGTTTCATGGTCTTATTTCACAGATGCACACACGTACAAATAACATTTTCATGGCTTCATATACACACACCCCTCAGTTCTCCATCTTTGCTGGCTAAATGTGCTCTGTACATTGACAAATAAACTGATTCTGACCTCTAAACCTAATTAGTAGAGTTGCAGTAGAACTACAAAAAAATTAGGACTGAGAACATCTCCTTACTTCTCAAAAATTACCTTACTTTGTTGATATGGTTATGGTGAGTGGGGATGGGTAAAAATCCATGCGAGCGGGGTCCTCRTAAGTGGGCCMATTGCTCTCCCCAAAAAGACACTGGTCTTTATTCAAACCTTCGAGTTTCAYGGATGAAGAACACAAGGTTAGAAACACTCAGTGTTCTGAGCTTCTCAGGATCCATAAAGGGGACCCCAAGAATTATTTTCCTTTCTCTACTTAGGCCACTGCCTGGCTCTGAGTGGTCAAAGAGGTCTGTAGTTTAATGCCGCAGGCATCACACAGACCATTGTCATGGAGTCCCATCACCATTTTGTGBYRGTTGAGCAGATTGTGCCCAGTTAGGACTCCAACCAGTGTACTTAGTTTTTCTTGACAGGGAGATGAGAGCCTTCCCAAACCTCCCGTGCCTGTCTACAGTCCGTCAGCTCCCTCCAGAGGATTGAGGGTTGACATCTAATCCAGGCCTGTAGGGCAGTCCTACAGAGTGTTGTTGAGGTACCTATAACAGGTTCTGGTCCTTTGAAGTGAGCCCGAGGTAGTCAGCTCTCTGGTTACCATAAATACCAGTATGTCCTGGTACCCATTTAACAGTAACACTGTTATCTCTCCCCAATTGGTTGACTGCTTYGGCACTCTCCCAAGCCAGTAATGACGTAAAGTGTGGCCCTCAGAGAGCTCTAACAGCAGCTTGGCGATCTGTTAGGATGAATATTTCCTTCTGTGCACACTGAAGGTCTTTGAGAGATACCACACACTGGTGGATTGCATTACAGTTGTAGAACCTAGTGGATATTTACGCTCTCTCTCACTATGGCTGTGCAATATCTGCCCCCCTGCACCTACTGACCCCTTCAGGAGGGATCCATCTGTAAAACAGTAGAAATGTTCGGGAGACATGTCCGTTGTTGAGAGGTTAATCCAGACAGACCTGTCTTCAATCTCTGTCTTGAAACTTGGCTCAAAATTGTATTTTTTGACCGTTCTGTCTGCAGGTCCTACAGTTACTGGAACAGTCCCAGAGTCTAGTGTGCTGTGAATCAGATAGGTTTTTCCACCTAATGTATCTTTATTGCACTGGATGCAGCCTCCACTAAGATGTACAAAACTAATGGAGCCAGGTCCAGTAGGACTTCAAGGGCTGCCGTGGGTGTTGTTCTGATGCAACCTGTGATGCTCAGGCAGGACATTCGTTGCACATGGGTCAGCATCACTCTTGCCACCCCAATCACTTTGTTATTTGGTTAAAAAATATGATGGTCCTCACTTTGTAGCAGAAACTAGTACACACACACACACAGGAGTTTGTAATGAAACCTGAGCTAAATGCTTCACATATTCTGAGCACTTAAAAAAACAAATAAGTAGATTTATGAGGCAGATTGTTCAAGACTCACTGCACTCTGAGAGCTGGTCAGAGGTCAGAGTCTGGAGGACCAAACCACAACAGAAGAAGAAAACAAACCTCTGCATGAATGACAGCAGCAAAATCAGACTGAAGCTGTAAATCTAACCTGAGTCACGGTGGATGTGAGCTGAGAGAAAACCATGGACCTGCAGCAGGAAGACAACCAGTAATCCATGCAGAGGTCTGTCCATGCTGACAGACAGACAGATGGACAGACGGAGACAGAGACGTCCTCAGAGACAGACAGACTTAGACTGACTGAGATCTGCAGAGCTGAAACTCCTCCACTGTTATTATCTCCTCCCTCTGACTGTCTGAGAGTGTGTGTGTGTGTGTGTGTGTGTGTGTGTGTGTGTGTGTGTGTGTGTGTGTGTGTGTGTGTGTG